CCCTTTATACAAAATCTGGTCAAAATCCGCTCAGAATTTGAAAATAGCGATTCCTGCTCGTTTTTTTGAGGTTAGAAAAAAACCACACGTTCTAGCTCAATTCTGACAGTGGATTTGAATTCAGCAGAGTCTCTTACATAAAAATGTACTATTTGATGTGGAAATAATTTTTTTTCCAAATTTTCCCAGTAAATTTTCATCAATTTTCACTATTTTTCACAAGTTTTTTGAGGTTAGGAAAAAATTGTGACGTGATGGGCCAATTCTGACCCCAGATTCGTGTTCAGGAGGCCAAATTACTACGAAAAATGTCGCATAAAAAGTATACCCAACTTTTTTTTTTCTGTGTGGCTGTGATTATTTTGTGACTGAAATTAATTCAATATTCAATAAACAGTAGATATTACTGACTCATATACTGACCAACGAAGTTATAGTTTTATTCATATCTTTTTATATAAAAATGGTAATGTTGTTGCGTTACAAGATAAATGTTATTAATATACAGACATAATTTTGTCATTTAAAGGTGTCGTGTTAAGTATGTATATGGATAAAAATAATCGATCTAACTGACAAATTATATCTACGGTTGGTGTATGGAAATAGATAAAAGACATTCCTAAAAAAAAGTGGGTATCTAGGTAATAAATTAACCCATAATTTCTCTTTTACATAGGTATCAAGTTAAGTACATCATTAAATAGAAGGCTAACTTGTAAGTTTGTTATAACATTACAAACACTGTGCTTAATATATATTTGAAGATTAGGTACCGTTTTCATTGTTAAATATTTAAAAAATTAAAAAAGGTTTAGTGTCACCCTTCCTGTACATTTTTTTTAAATACGCAAGCATTTCTTGTTTCACATAAAAAAATTCAAGACGTATCATGTTTCCTTGAATATTTCAAACAAAGCCGATGATTAATTGCCTTCAATAAATTATCAAAAAATGTTTGGCAATTTGTCGATAAATTGTCTGCTTTAAGTGAATGCAGCATGGCTGAAATATTGATAGTGACGTACCTGTTGTATGTCTGGTTGGCCCAAAAGCAGCGCAGGTTCTATGGCGTCCGACAAAGCTCCTTGAGGGATGCCGGTGGCGGCTGTCACTCTACCAGGCACCAGCAACTTGGAAGATCCCGTCACGTAAGTGGAAATGATCCCGGACGTCGCACTACAGTTACTTCTCGGATTCATATTGCACATAGCCATGGGGAACATAATTCCGCTTTCCGAAATTCGGCAATTTTTTTGACATGCACAAGCTATTTGTTTGACAACGTATCTAAGGAAATTGTTGGTTGTAGTATGGTAGTTATGATTGAACTAAGTGATTCGTGGTTTTGCAACTATCACCACCACCCACCACCCTCCGTGGTCATCGGTGTGTACCCCAAACATCAACAGCATCATCCCCCGTGATGGACCTTTTCGATTTCTCGGCAGGGGAGCACTGGCCCCACGGCACTGTAGCTTTTTATACTTAGTATGTAAAAAGGGGATGTGATTTTTAGGGCAATAAAAAATACCGAATCCTCGAAACGAATGACAATGGCGTCTTATTAAAGTCGTATAAAGACAAAAAAGAGAGGACGGTTGAAAAAAATATAAAAAAAGGAGGAGGTATAAATTGAAATTTGTAACGCAAAGTTTTTATTAAAATATGTACGTAATCTAATCTAATCGAACTTAACGTAACCTAACATCTATGTAAGCATAAAATAAAAAAAGCAAATATTACACCAGCAACTACACGAAAAATTAACGATAACGAACGACCTCACCTAAGCGCAAGATATTTAATTTTTACTACTTCATGTATATGTATAAAAATAAACCAACCTCACTTAAAAGTATTCACAAATGTTGAAAGTTTAACGAAAGTAAAAAAAAATGCATCAGACAATTGACCTAAAGTCTTATAGAACTATGCACATACAGTGGGCATAAGTTCTTAAAAGTTTTTTTCTGTGCTCTAAAATTAGTCGTTTCATAACTGTCATTATTGTCCATCTAAAAGCTCTTTGTATGTCGGCATTAGTCTAGTATGGATACAATTGTAGCAATATACTGTTATTACTAATAATTTAGCACTCTGAAAATGTGCGCGAGGTGGCAGCACTTACTGAGATATGTCATGTGAGAATATGATGTATCATCCCCCCTCAACTTTACCAGTTTTCAGTTGTTGGCATTTTTTTTGTTAAGATCAGTATTTATTTATTTTTGTTTTATTTATTTAGTATCATACGGTTCAATATAATAAATCCATACTTAAAAAATATATTCCATGTTTTTGAACACCTTTTAATGAGCCTGAAAAAAACATCAAATTGTAATTTTTTTCGCATAAATTGATATATTCAAAAATAAGGACTAAATAAGGAGGAAATTGCATTAATTTATGATTTTTTATTAATTAAAAGTTTACATGATATAATTAGCTAGAATATTATTCTAATTGAAGCAGATCATGTCATTTATAAATCAAACAACGAGTAGTAGGTCCGGTACAGATCATTGATGACCACCAGGAGAATTAAAAATACTGTACGAACAATATTTTTATCTATTATCAGTTTCATTAATGTTTTTTGGCTCCGATATAATAATTCAAAAAATTGTGATTACGGACCTGCCTTTTCGGCAAGTGTTTAGCGTCTATCAGGTTGCAGAATAAACTTTATTTTTAATTCGCCCCGCCCCTATGTTAATGTAGGTTTAATGCCGACTACATACACTTGTCCTACAGGGCTGAGGGAGGGTAGAGCGACGGTGGGGTGGCTTTGTTGATTGGGGATTATATTACAACTTATTCTGGTTTACATTATTTCATTAACTTTCAATTTAGCGACGATTGCGACCGAAATTTCTGTAAATTTCGTAATACGAACAAACGATTATTCCCCATAATTGAACAAAAAAAAAAGAATAAAAACGGCTTTATTAAATTTTTCATTAATCGTTTTAGATGTAAAAATCTACCTAAACAAATAATATTAATGATTAAAAAAACTGATATTAATTATCTTCAAGTTATGCAGTTTTTTTTTACATTTTAAAAATTGATGGACCAAATCAATTCGAATCTGCAAGATTTGAGTGTCATGTTAAAAGAGATAATTCAGGGGTGAAGTTTTGGAAGCAACATCATCAAATATTTTCTCAAATAACAGTTTAAAAAAAGTTAAAATAGTCTTAAGAATGTTTAAATATCTACACGTAAAACATTGTATTAGATTTTCATCTGATATACGAGAAATTATTATTTTACTTTTTTTTAACTACTACTTATTACTTTGATACACAAATATCAACACACGTTGAAGAAAGTACAACAGCGTCGTTTACAATAATATTTATATTGTTTCTAATTTATCTCGGAGCTTTTGAATACATTTATATATGTAATTTTATTTAACTTTAGTATAAAGCACGAGGTTCTGAGTAATGCGCTACTATTTGAAAATCAGCATTAAACATTTTACATGCATAAGCTGTATTATGCATGTAAACGGAAAATAAGAGATTTGCAGTTTCTGATTATCAGCATATGAATGAAAATGTGTTATCCTACTAATTATATCAGACGTGTACAAAACGAACAACATTGGCCCTAGAAGAGAACCCTGAGGTACTCCTTTTTAACTTTTATAGGTCTAGATAAGGAAGTAGTGTTTTCTAGTGTTATTTTAATTCGTTGGTCTCTATTACTCAAATAAGATTTAAACTATCTTACTATATTTTCTGTTAAAACTAAGATAGGACAACTTTGCAAGCAACAAACTGTGGTAATATGAGATCGATCAATGGCGGGTAAGGTAATAATAATCATAAACAATATCATTACAATTTTTGTTGTTTAAAATGACATTTTGCAATTTTCTCGAAGACAATAGGTACATCCTATCGAAAATAGTACCTTTTCTGTGTAATTTACACTGCTCTTTCAGAAAATGCAACTACTTTTGCCAAAAATTTCAGTGGCGTAGAAATATTGCTCAAAAAGAGGCGACACTCATGACTTTGAATTCTCATTTATCGTTACAATTTCGTGGAATCTTGTTAGATAATACTCTGTAGCTTTAAAATTTTGGACACTTTTTTGACACTCTAATTTTTATGCTGAGACATTGGCGTGACTACAGGTGGGATCGAGGAAAGCAGGCAATTTTCAAAAGACTGGAGATTTTTTTTTGAAAATTATTAAATCATTAATTGATGCCTTTATTTTGCTCAGTTTTATTACCAGATTTAAAAAAATTTGTGGTAGCCTCCATTAGAATCCATTTGTCATTGTAATGAGATTAATATTAGTTTGGAAGTGACAACAAATCAATTATAGCGTAGGTGATTGTCTGGTGTCACTGCTCTTTCACGAACGTATGGACATGGTTGTGTAAATTTATAAATTAATCATATTGGCTACAAAAATAACTGATTAAAAGAAGCAATATATTACTATGTCAGTTTCCAGGAAAAATTATTCCAGTACATTTTGAAATTATTTCTTTTATACTATCAAACAGTCTTTACTACGGTTAGTATGCAGGCATGGAGGTTTCACAAGAACTGCAGAGGTGCAACACCACCGATATTATAACAGAAATATAGCAGAAAAATACAACTAAATTTAAATTTTCATCGAAATATTAAATTATTATTACTTTTATTATTAATTTAATAGTTTAAACGTTTAATCAATGGCCAATCTAAACCCAAACTATACTAAAATAGCAGTTGCATTTGTCAGAAGATGCCGAATCGGTCGAAATGTGTTCGCGTTCGCTTCCGATGACGCCGAAAGCCTGCCAAATAGCTGTATCTCGAAGAGAACAGAGTTTAGTATCTAATAAATCCAAAACACCCATAAACCCGAAAACCCATAAGTCCTAAAACATCATAAACCCTAAAACATATAAAACTCAAAATCCATAATCCCTAACATCCATAAACCCGAAAACAAATAAACCTCAAAACCCTAAAACGAGTTTTAAGGTTTATAAACTGGGTTTATGGGTTTTGGGGTTTATTTTACCAGTTTGGCTTCGGGATTTACGGATTTCGGTGTTTATCAGTTGTCGGATTTATGGATTTAGGAGTGTGCGGTTTGCGGTTCAATAATTTTTAATAAAGTACTATGTATACATGTACTNTGATCAAAATGTTATTTTAATTGGGTTAATGTATACAGGGTGTCCGCTACAAAGAAACAGTTAGAACCATAGTAGTTGATTTTATACTTAAACTCAATAATAAATTATATCAGTTAAAAAAATAAAACAACCCCTTTCAAATATCGGCTATGTTATCGTTTTTAGTTTAGGTGTAAATGACAATTTTTTTAAATATTTTTCTTTAAAATTGTAAGGGAATTTCCTAAAACTATCGTTATTACCATTTCTTTCCTAGACAAAAAAGAAAAAAATATTAGGGGGTAGAAAGTCATTTAAATGACCTCAAATAAACCTCTCAAATCATTAAACAATGATTGATTTTAAAATACTGTTTAATTAAAATACTTTGATATGTCCATATAAAGCACGAAAAAAAAAAAAAACTCGCAGCCGGTAGGATTCGAACCTACGCTCCCAAAGGGAATCTGATTTCGAGTCAGACGCCTTAACCACTCGGCCACGACTGCACATTGCGTCGACTTGCCATTGCCACAACTTCAACACCACCTAAGAGTTCATGTACGTCCGTTACAAATTATTTGATTTAAAATTAACAAATGTATCGCAAATTTTTAAAAGATATCTGTAGATGCTTTTATATCATAATTATTTAATTATAATTGTATTATAACATAAAAGAGAAAGAAATAACAATAATTAATTTCAAGAGTAGCTTTGTGGGATAAAAACAAACTAATTTAGTACAAGTTATATGGAATGGAATATTTCAAAGAAGTATATTTCAAATGCCGATAAAAATAACATCGAAATGAACCGGCCATACTTAAGCTGCATAGAGTATATTGTCCTGATTAAAAAATGTCAAATGAATATAAATTAGCAAATGCTGCCTAAGGGACAAAACCTAAAGTTACTAGTTCAACTTATTAATTAGTATTAAAATTAATAACTAAAGCTGACGTTGAAAGTTTTTACCGTTACATTGAATGCAGGCAAATAAGACAATGAAGAATATTTTTGTTTGCAGATTTTGCCTTACAGTTACTGCGGCTGCATTAA